AAGCTGATCAGGCGTCTGTTAGCAGTATTCAAAGCAATATATACGCGCGCGGCGGGTACACATTATAGCCATCCGTGACTCAACCGAGCCCTTATCTCGGCCATTATGGACAGGGCGCTAAAGTAAAGTACTGCGTACAGACACATCTCCTTGCGATGGCCGCTTGTATGGTCATCACTACCGCATACGTGGTTGTGTCCATGTAGACAGCAGCTTATTCATCGCGCATAGTGCTCACTCGATACTGAAGCTTACATTCGTGAGCGCACATTAGTGAAATATAAACTGTGAGGGTTGGTGGTACATATAGCATGGGTTTGCGTGTGCCAAGTGAGCAAGTGTACTTTCCATCTACGGTAACGCGTATGCAGATAGGAACGGCCAGCTCGCAAGGGTACACAGTAGACACCATGCGCTAATTATTATACGAAACGCGCTACACTCCGTAGATGCTTGGCAGCACCACAGTTAGTTTACCATATGTGCGGCCCCAAGCCTCGCGCCGCCCGCCAGTATACAAAATACAAAGATAAGCGGGGTAACGGGGGCAATAAGGATATATTATCCAAATTACTTGCTCTTCTGCTGCTTCTTTTGCTCGATGTAATTGGCGTTTCGGGCGGTCAGCTTGCGAGGGCGGCTGCGCCTCTTTTTCTTCTTGGGGTACCAGTCAGGACCCATCGCCTTCTTGACGTTCGCCAGGCTTTCCTGGCGGCGCACATCGGTCGAATCAGGTGGTGGGGGCTTTTCCTCCCAAAACTCAACCGCTTTTTGGGCCGTTCTCGCAGGCAATACAGCGCCGCACGATGTCCCGCCCGCTGATTGTACGGAATGCGTAGCCGTACTGCAGCTTCCCGCAGCAGACGCAGCGCGCTCGGGGATCCGTCGTAGACCGCTGCGGGTTCAGCAGAAGCGGGTCAATCTTCGCCTCGCATTGCTTGCACGTAGGGCCCACCATTTTGCAAACGTGCGGATGTTAGCAAAATATTTTGTTTAAACCAATTACTTGCGTCCAAATATTAGCCAATAGCTTGGAAATATAAGGCTGGTATTTATTATTTAGAAACATATTAAAAAGTTGATACTAACGTTTTGGCTTTGCTATAATATATTATTATCAGATTTCCAAACAAAAACATACTTTACATGCAATTTAAATTGCCTAAGACAATTATCTATCGTGCGCGCATGCATCTGTCGGGTGTGGTGCACGGGAGCAGATAGCGAAATGCCCGTGCAGCTGCGCGCCTTCATTGCACGGTGGCAGTGGTGAGTTCCAGGTAAAGTACAAAATATATATATTCGCAAAGTCCCTACAAAAAGCGCTGGCTGTGAGGCCTACTTTAATATTAAAAAATACTATCGTCTCTACTTTAGAAAGTCTGTGGAAAATAGCATCGCCGAGCTCTTACAAATGCGGCCTGTGAAGCTTATATTAATAATATTAATACTATTAATATCGTCGTTTAAAGTGTGTGGAAAATTACATCCCAGAGCTCTTACAGAATACCGGTCTGTGAAGTCTACATAAATAATATTACATATCTCTATTTAAGAAGTGTGCAGAGCTCTTAGAAAATTAAGTGGTTACTGTGCCCGATTTGCAGTACATACGACAGGTTTTGCGTAGCTAAATGTCAATAACCAATCACCTGCGCAGCTCGCCAGGCTGTTTGCATCCAATCAATGTGTTTCGTTCGGGGCAGAAATGTTTACCTTACGTCCAATCGCGAGGGAGAGAGGCGGTCTGATCGTGCGACAGATCCAGTCAGTGTCGCAGGTCGGTCGGTATTGCCCAATCAGGGCTCGAGTTAATTGTGTCCGCTTTTTGGTCATAATTGTAATTTAGGCATAGTTAAGTCGAGTCAGAAAGATAGGCGCGGTCGATAAGATGGGAGGAAACTGTATAAGACAGCCCGAGTGTAGCCATGCGGAAAGGCAGGTCAAAGCAGGAAGACAGGGAGTGCGACGGACGGATTGACAGACGGACGGACAGACAGACACGCTACAAGGTTAGAAGCGGAGAGACTAGCGCTCTGGGCGCCCGCTCCGCGGACGCTAGGGCATGGTTGGTTGGTGTAGAGAGGTGGGCTTAGAGTTTCTACTTAGAGCGAATCTACATATAATATTTGTTTACTGTGATCTACTTATGTTACGCTCCAAAACCGTACACAATATCCTTATCGCTCTCATGTTATGCCCCACTGTCCACCTCCGGAGCGTGTACCGCTAGCATTTCTTAAAGTCACTTTTGGAAACATCACATATAAATATGTAGGCGTGACAGTTGGATGTTACAGATAGATACCCGCGTGATAGATCTAGATCGAAAGCGTATTGTTGATCGTCATAGTAAAGGTAGACATGACCTGGGTTTAACGTGATCCGCAATATGTGCACCATCTTGCCCTGGAAGCTTTTGTCGATAATCTCGTTTGAGCGCATTGCTCCCAAAATGACACGAATCGGAGGCGCGCGTGGTTGCAAAGCTAATATATCCTGTACGGAAGACGGGTCAGTATCAATGATGCTACGAAATATGCGTAGATCGGTGAGGAATCCCAGTGTAGCTAGAGTAAATACGCCTACTCACACATATTACCCATCTGCACGTCATCGCCGTGAGGCAGTCGACACATTTCATCGATTGCGACGGTCGAATAGAGCAATGTTAATCAGCTCCGCGCGCGAAGTATCTTTTATGATATGTAGTATTTGCCGATGGTCGCCACAAACATCAATATTTGAAATTATTCTGCTGAGCTGTTTGTGATGTTACTGAAGGGTATTTCCACTATCTTCCGCATGCATTGATCTTACTTGCATAGCTGACGTACTTTCTGACTTATTTGTATAGCTACTGACTGATAGAGTGGCGTAAATCCTTTCCGACTGACATTATACTGGGTCCGATATGTACGACAAAAGGCCTCGTCCAGATCGGACGAAGAGGCACCACTGCGTGCACATTCTTTTGACCGGCTGCAACATACGAAGATATATGGCCGTAGGCAGAGTATCAGATCGTAGTGATGGTTAGACTTGAATTGAATAATAGTTCATGTACATTAGATGGAGTACTTTCGCTGCCTACTTATCAGCTCGGCGTGCTATTTGATGTGTCCGTGCATATCCCGCAATGCCGCCAATGGGTGTTGTCGTGATAGCCAACACCCATGCACTGGGTTACTGCTGCGATCTCGGTACTTTTGTATCGTCGTGCTAGCCTACTGTACCTACGATTATGATGTATCCGTCTATATGATCCAGCACGTCACTATTCGGGCACAGGTCATACCCGCGGTGATACAGGCAAGCTGATCAGGCGTCTGTTAGCAGTATTCAAAGCAATATATACGCGCGCGGCGGGTACACATTATAGCCATCCGTGACTCAACCGATCTCTTATCTCGGCCATTATGGACAGGGCGCTAAAGTAAAGTACTGCGTACAGACACATCTCCTTGCGATGGCCGCTTGTATGGTCATCACTACCGCATACGTGGTTGTGTCCATGTAGACAGCAGCTTATTCATCGCGCATAGTGCTCACTCGATACTGAAGCTTACATTCGTGAGCGCACATTAGTGAAATATAAACTGTGAGGGTTGGTGGTACATATAGCATGGGTTTGCGTGTGCCAAGTGAGCAAGTGTACTTTCCATCTACGGTAACGCGTATGCAGATAGGAACGGCCAGCTCGCAAGGGTACACAGTAGACACCATGCGCTAATTATTATACGAAACGCGCTACACTCCGTAGATGCTTGGCAGCACCACAGTTAGTTTACCATATGTGCGGCCCCAAGCCTCGCGCCGCCCGCCAGTATACAAAATACAAAGATAAGCGGGGTAACGGGGGCAATAAGGATATATTATCCAAATTACTTGCTCTTCTGCTGCTTCTTTTGCTCGATGTAATTGGCGTTTCGGGCGGTCAGCTTGCGAGGGCGGCTGCGCCTCTTTTTCTTCTTGGGGTACCAGTCAGGACCCATCGCCTTCTTGACGTTCGCCAGGCTTTCCTGGCGGCGCACATCGGCCGAATCAGGTGGTGGGGGCTTTTCCTCCCAAAACTCAACCGCTTTTTGGGCCGTTCTCGCAGGCAATACAGCGCCGCACGATGTCCCGCCCGCTGATTGTACGGAATGCTTTTTTTTTAAGATAGCGTAATCTGAATTAATCCGCCAATCATTTGTTGTTAAAGCTCGACTAGCTGGAGTATTACTTATCAACAGTGAGGGAATTGGAGTCCAAGACAATTGTGAGAGTGACGACAAGGTTGGTGTGGTGTGTTGGCGCATTAATCTAGCGTCACAGGCTGCAGGTTTATGAGACGCACGATCTGGACGATGCTATCGGCAGATGACAAGAACGAATATCTTGATTTCGCTATATCGACTTCAAACCTGCATCCGTTTGCAGTTTTCCATCTCGATCGGCTTTGTGTGTGTCACAGTGATATACTAGAGCAAATACTCGTCAGTTTAAAGGCCTGCCTTGACCGAAATAGTTCAGCCCACGAGTGAGGTGGCAAGAAACATACTTAAATGGGGAAATATCATAAAAAAATATTTAATGCAAGATGATATTATCATCTGGTTTCTAATATTTTTCAAATATTTACAAAATGAGATTATATTCTTTTATCTTTTATTTTTTAAATATCTGAGCTAATTTTGAAATATTATGTTAGCTTTTGAAAAACTGAGCTACTACAAGTTTAAACTTTTATAATCGAAATTGATAATATCACTTCTTTAAATATTAAATGAAGTATTTGGTTACGATAACCAACTCGCATTCACGCTGATTACGAAACGGTAGGTAATTCTGAAACGACGACAGATTTGACCACACACTACAGAACTGTTTCGGTCCCTGTCAATTTCACAGATAAACCTGTCTCCTGCAATTTATGGATGCGAGCTGATATTCTGAAAATCTGGAACGGTCAAAGCTTGTTTTTTTTTCTGCTGGTGTGCAGAAACATCAATTTGACGTGAAGAAGAAGGCAGAAAGAAGGCAGGCCGCAGCGGCCCGCAACGACAGGAGAGACGACGGTGGGTCACGAGAGCGACAACAACATGCGCTCGAAGGCCATAGACACACTGGGAGGAGCTCCGAGTGACGCAGTATCAGCCGCAACAGACATCGTTGTCTCGTGTGTGGTTAACGGGACAGGCGCCGAGTCACCCGCGACGCCCATGGAGGTGGCACTGGCCGCCCACACAGAAGAACAGGAGCAGAAGCCGTTGAATCGGCAAGAGGAAGAGACCATGACAGCTACGCAGATGCAAAATGAACAGAGGCGAGAGCGGCACTGGAGACGCATGGTACACAGCGAGTTGAGGGACCGACTAGTCGCTGCCATGTACGTATGGTTAAAGAGGGGAGGGAAAAGAGTGGGAATTGTATTGACGCAGTGGTGGTTTGATGCAGGTTGGAGCAGTTGCAGCGGATAACAGGAGACCCGGACGTGCGGCACTTGAGGATGTGCGCGTCTCGCTACGAGTCGTTTGTATGGAAGAAAAGCGCCAACCAGGTGCAGTATAAGCAGAAACTGGAGCACCGCATTGAGTCGCTGCGTCGCCAGCCGTCTCACGGTGAAATCGGGGGTGTGGAGATCTCGGTGCGACTAGTGGAAGGCCATCGACTTAATCTGATTCGGTCGCCGAATCAGGAGACCGCTGCGGCACCATCGTTAGGCCCATGTCCTAATAGCCGACACAAAACTCAGAAAGAGAACCATGTCGATAAAGGATGCGCCCCGCGCCGACTCAATGCTAAATCTAGTAGTCGCAGATCTGGTAGCTTGAGTGGCAGCAAACGATCAGGGAAGCGGAAAATGCGGCCTTCCTCGTCCGGGTCGTCATCAGCCACAGGCGGTTCGTCGACGCGACGAGATGAATTGTACTTCGCAAAGCTGCGAGTGATGAAAACTCAATACCGCGATGAAGTCGCGTTGGTGTTCCGCGAGCTCTGCCGCGTGAACACGGTGATCCAGCACTCAGCCAGTCTACGACGCCATGAGTCCAACAATCTGGGCGACTTCTTGGCCAACCTCAAGAAGATAATTTATTTGCTGGAGCAGCAGCCAGGTGAGCCGTGCGGTATGATTCCAGCCCGCAAGCGTACAGTTGAGTACCTGGATGTTGTGGAATCCCACATCCAACGGAAGGTGCTGCCTATTCTCCTCCGCTTGCGCCACACATACTCGACTATTCTGCGCCCCATCGTGCTTAATTACATGAAGAACAGCTTCCGCTTCAATCGACGCTTTTGATGCGTCACAGTAGCGAGCAACAAGCTGAAACTCCAGCAGATATTCGAACCAACACTCGCAGCAAACAAGTATCCGGTAAACTGGAATGTAGTCCATGCAGAATAAAGAACTGAGTGGGCAATCGCATCCTCCATGTTGCATGGACAGCTTTTTGGTTTGATTTCTTGATGCATATTTGTAGTTGATGCCAAGACGTTGCAATGTAGTAGTTCTTGCAGAATAAAGAATAAAGTGGGCAATTGAATCCTTCATTATCAACGACTGCCTTTGGTGTGACACTGCAACCAACAGCACTTACAGAAATAAAAATATTTTATTTATTCTAATAAAAGTTAGCAGTGCAAGCATCTGAAGTAGTATTTTATTGACTCCAGCTGTATTTGTGCAAAGTAGTATAATAAAGCGAAAAGTAGTATAATAAAGCGAAAAGTAGTGAAAGTATTCGTGGCATTCTCCAAAACGATCCGCGAGCATGTCGACCGAGGCGGAGCTGCGGTCGCTGGACCGGCAGATCGCGGAACTGATGCAGCAGAAGGCAGCGGTGCAGGCCAAGATGGAGCGTGAGGCTGGCGGCGCCCGTGCCAAGCAAATGAGCGCCGAGGTGGTGGACAGCAACCCTTACAGTCGCCTAATGGCTCTCAAGCGTATGGGAATCGTCAATAACTACGAGAAGATCCGTGACTTCTCTGTCCTCATCGTAGGTCTCGGAGGAATTGGTTCTGTAGCCGCCGAGATGCTCACGCGTTGCGGCATCGGCAAGCTCATTATGTACGACTACGATACCGTGGAGATCGCCAATATGAACCGCCTCTTCTTCCGCCCCGAACAGGCAGGAATGACCAAGACAGCAGCCGCCAAGCAGACCCTACACAGTAAGGATACACTACTTAAGAAGTACAGTCTTACCCGTAGCATTTTACTAAGCACTTGCGGTGTTTATAGGTATTAATCCAGACGTGATCTTCGAGGAGTACACGATGGATATTACTACAACCGCCAACTTCGAGCAGCTTCTGGACCGCATTCAATACGGTGGAGTGGACGGCAAGAGCAAAATCGACCTGGTGCTGAGCTGTGTGGACAATTATGCGGCGCGTACGGCACTGAACCAAGCGTGTAACGAGCTGAACCAGGAGTGGATGGAGTCGGGCGTGTCGGAGGACGCAGTGTCGGGCCATATTCAGTTCCTGCTACCAGGACGCACAGCTTGCTTCGAGTGTCTTCCGCCGCTAATTGTGGCCAGTGGCATTGACGAGTCTACACTGAAGCGCGAGGGCGTATGCGCAGCCTCTCTACCGACTACTATGGGACTTGTGGCTGCTCTGTTGGTGCAGAATGTGTTGAAGTACTTGTTGGGCTTCGGTCAGGTGTCGTACTACTTGGGCTACAGCGCTATGAAGGATTTCTTCCCGTCGGACGTCATGCGTCCGAACCCCGAGTGCTCGAACGCGCAGTGTCGCAAGCAACAGGCGGTGGATGAACACAAGAGCTGGACGCCCATGGTCTGGACGGCTCTGGGTCATGATGGTCAGGAGAATCTTGTTGTGGAACACGAAGACAATGAGTGGGGCATCGAGCTTGGCGGAGACGACGACGCCTCGGAGGCTCCAGCTACAGACACGGCCAAGCTGGCGTCCGGTATCTCGTTTGCGTACGATCAGCCCACTACAGCGCCGGTAGCTGCCGCTGATGATCAGTCGGCGTCAGTATCGGACGTGGACGTCAGCCTGGAAGACCTCATGGGACAGCTGAAGTCGCTTTAGATGGACTCAGCGACTCGTAGAGGCCTGTCAACTTCTTTCTTTGGTCACAGTGTAGTGCGAGGTAGTGAGTTAGATGAAGAATGAAGTCGAGGTGCGTGCGGGACTGGGTCATTTTGTACTGGATTATTGAGCGTCTAATACGTCCCGGAAGGCGTGAAGTAGTGCCATGCTCGATGTCTCGATACCTTCGTTCCAAACCCCGTCCCGTAACCTCCGATCAAGCGCTTGTGCCACTTTAACTACATTTGCCAGAGTTTTCGTTGACTCTGGGGACGTCTCTAATAGAACACGCATGGCGTCCAACGCTGAAATGGCCACAGCCTCGTCTGTTCCAGTCTCCAGCTCTCGCAAGAAATCTGCGAATGTAAGTCCGAGCTCGGCGATCTCTTGTGCTTGGATCTCATTATCTGAACTCTGGACCTGGTTCCCACTTGACATGTACAACTCGCGGATCTTGGGCGGTAAGAAACTGCAGTTGATGCTCAGAGTTTCCTTACGACCACTTGCGGAATCGTCACCCTCAATAAGGTTTTCAACTGAGGACATCAAGAAGGCTGACGACTGTCATGACAAGTTAGACTACAGTGTAGAATTTCGAGTGGTACTGAAAGTCACTTACGTGTTTTGAGAAGCCACTTGATGAACCACGCAGAGACTTTAACGATTTACGGGTAAGATGTCCACGACTGAGCGCTTGAATGCACGTGGCAGCTTCAATCTCCTCGAGGTTGTGGTCAAATGCGGTAAAGTATTGTCTCCAGAAGCTCTGAATGGTGTTCGCAGCTATTTGCTGGACACTCAAGAGCTCTTCGTTAACTGCAGCCTGATGAACTGCTGCTCTTCGAGCCTCATAGTCACGAAAAACCTGCTGGATGGTGCGAGCTGCGATACTACGAACACCTTCGTCAACTGCTCGACGGGTGTTTTGACGATGTACTCGAAAGGATCTTTGAATTGTGATCGCAGCAGTGTATACGCCTGCCTTGGTGCACTCGGTTAGTAGTCGACTTTGACGACCACGCACAAGGGCTTGGATCTTAATCGCGCTAAGTTCTTCCAAGAAATCCTGCTCTAAAACCATCTACAAGGAAGTACAGCAGAATACGTTAGAATATTGAGTCACGAACCAATACTTCGAAAGAACACTTACTGCTTGGTCCAGAGTGAGGATAAAGTGTCTCTGTTCAATGTATGCCCGACTCAAATCACTTGCGTTCTCGAGAGCAATACGTCGACGGACAGCGAAACTCCTGAAGCACGCCTGGATGCGTGTGGCTGTACCATTTTGACGGTGGATGTCTGCTTCTTCGACGATATTACGGTTTAAGTGCTGGGTTACGGCTGTCGATTGCTGTTTGGGAGTTTGTAACTGATCCGCGGTGCTCCGACTCGTACGCGATGTCGCGGGTCCGTTGTCTTGAGAATTGCGAGTTGTACTTGGAGTTGATTTTGCTGAACGTGGCTGAGACTCTTTCCATTCTTCATCGTCATCATACACGTCGCTGCGTGCACTTTGTTTTCCTTGTGATTTTGTGGACAACTCGACTTCATTCGGATCAGCCAGACGTATGGACGACACAGTAGAACTTCGTCGAGGTGGCTTTGGTTCCGCCAGATTACTAAAGTTCAAGTGGGGTACGGACACTGCGGGGTTTAAAGGAGGGGGTTCTGGAGGTCTCTGGCTGCTCGGTCCCACCGACTTCTTGACAGCAGCTCCAAGTACGACGTCAGCGATGGAAAATACTCGACGCTGAGGAACTTGAGACGGTTTCTCGTCTTCATCCGCGTCTTGACTTTCAGTTGCATCGATGTTCTGATTGAGTGCTCGTCGCCATAATCGCTGGATAAGACAAGCAGCCATGTCCTCCACCTCTTCTCTCTGAAGCTCCAGCTGCAATTTCTCTTCGTCGAGTCTTCTAACCGCCTTTTGTGCCTCATAATATTGTCGCGTTTGCCGCTGGATCAAACAGGCTGAGGCGTTCTCAAGCTTTATCTACAGCAAATACAAAAGTGATTAAGCCGATAGAATAGGCTCGTAGTACAGAGATCGTGTTACCTGCTTCAGTTGCTGCACCTCGAAACGACAGCGTTGGCCTCTGAGAAATGCTTGAAGTCGACGTCCTGCCGCTTCTCTGAACAGCTGCAACTCGGCGTCGCGCGCTGCTACTTCGGATTCAAAAACGTGAACATCTTCCTGAAGCTCCAGCTCATCGTCTTCAAGCTTCTGTTTCACAGCTTTCACCTCAGTAGGCTTCGCGGCATGTAGCTCAACGTCGTGTAAACTATCGCTTGAATCGCGTCTAGCTTGTTCAATTTGGTCGCGAAGTTTGGACGTCGAGCTTCGGGGCGTTGACACTTTTGCTGCATTCTCATTTTCGGCTGGATCAATCCGATCCTTAAGACGAATACCCGCCCCACTCATATCTTCCTTAATGCTATCAGCCAGTTTTTTCATGCGACGTAGATACTCCATGTGGCAAACGCGCTGAGCTGGTAGATCCTGGTCCGTATCGTCGTCCCCGTTGTAACCAGTATGCGTTCCACTGGGGGACCCCTCTTCAAGAACAATGTCACTGATCGTTTCGCTTGGGCCCAAAGAAGTTTGAGAGCGACTAATATCCAGAACCCGGCGATGTCTTGACCCTCCTGTGGCACTCGAGCGCTCTTTTCTTGAATTACCAGGTCGTCCACAACGCTTCTTGCTGTCGACTTCCCCCTCCTGCTGATTATTTCCGGGGTAATTATCAAACTCATCGTCACTCGCATCGTCATTTATCACGCCGTAGTCCTCGTCGTTTCCAATAAAATCTTCATCTTGAGCTCCAAAGAACAGCTGCCCCTGCAGTTTATGCTGCCGCTGTGTTTGATTTCGACGCGCTGCTGTACTGGCGCTGCTTGCGCTTTGAGGTCGTCTAGTTTTCTTTTCGGGTGGTGGTTGAACGTCGTTGAGATCGTGCTCCTTCTCCAGCCTCCTCCAGTGCAATTCAAACGTGTCTTCTGAGTCACGGGGGTCTGGCCGAGTTGATGGCTTGGCAGACACTGGTCGCTGTCGCATCGTCGCCGACGTTGGGCGCATTGTTTTCCCACTTTCAGTGGCTGCAGTACCGTAACGAAGTCCTGCTGTCGAGGGCTTTGTGGCTTTATAGCAGTGAGACGCAACTGTGGAGCTGTACGATACATCTCCCCTATCAATGTCGTTCGTACTCCTAGATGCATGAGCTGATTTGGGGCGAGTAAGCGGACGTCGCCCCTTGTTTGCTGTAAACGCTGAAGCAGGAATCCCGTTCTGTCGGATGTTTGCGGTTTTCTGCTTCTTCTTCGCGTCGAGGAAAATCTTTTTAAAAGATTCACACAAGGCTTCATTGGTCTCGCGGTACTTCCACACCAGCTGCAGAGCTTTCTTGTACCATTGCAAACTCGCTTCACCTCGTCCATTAAACTCGAGCTCCACCGCCAAATTGTGGTACGCTACAGCGAGCGAGATAATTTTCTCTTCACGCGTCTTAGCGTCTAACGCGTCTTGGTCTCTATCATCTTCATCACGGGCTCCACCTTCGAGACTCACGAGCTCTTCTTGCGTATGGAAAATCGCAGCTTGTGCATGTTCCAATGCCAGATCGTGACGGCCGAGTTGAGACTGAATCGCACACAAGTTGAGGTGCGTAATGGAAAGGTTCTTCACGTGTGCTGAGCCAGATCCGATCTGAGCAGCCTCTTTTAGATACTTAAGCGCTGATTTCAGCTTTCCTAGCTTGCGATAGCAACAGCCGATGTTGTTAAATGTTAGAATCTGCAGGGCCTGACTTCGCCTGAAGTTCCCAGGCGCCACGATAGCTTCAGCTTTCCGTAACATGGCTAAACACTGGTCAAACTGTCCTTGAGCGAGGTACTGCATCGCTACAGAGTTGTAGCTCAGCATCACCTCGTGCAGTGCCTTCAGCACAGCCGAACTATTCGCCCCGAACATGCGTCGCTTGAGCCACAAACTCTGCTCTAGACATCCCAGCGCTTCCAAGTCCATCTTCTTCTGCTTTAAGCACGCCACCGTCGAGTTCAACATCTTCAACAAACTCTGGTCGCTGTCGTAGTTCGACTTGCGGTTCAGATGAGCTCGAGCTTTACCCGGGGAATAGTCCGTACCAGGGAAATCGCGCGAAGTATTGTGTGATGGATTCCTCTTCGCTGATCGCGGACGTGGCGGTGCCTCATGCACATCGTGGCGGTGCAAAAGACTCATTCAGCGTCTTGGAAGTGGCGAACAGGGGCGATATAGCGAGTAGAATCCCTCCAACGCAGTCAATTGATCTGCAGTCGGCGACCGCGGTTTCAACGATTCTCCAGAATAATATCCACGCGAAACGACCGTAAGTGCCCTACTCGCAACATTTCTGTAACATTAGAGACTCTATCTACAAAGACAAATATTAAAAACAGTGTCAAAAAACCACATTCATTCTCTACACAAAGCTCGCTTCTCCTTTCTGGGTCTGCCGGCTGTCTTTTATTCAACTCAAGTCTTCAACCTATGCATCTTGAGGCCGGTGTTTCTTGAGTTGCAGCTCTAACGACTTGATGTGTTTCTTCATTTGCGCGATCTCTTGAGCCTGACTCGCCACGACCTTGAGCAGATCGTGTTTCTCTCCCTCCAGACGCGACGTCATTTGCTTGTACATGTCTGACAACTTTAGCGAATCGTCCAGTGTTGACAGCATCGACATCCGACTCGGCGCGATGCTAGGAGCATTGGACATGGCATCATCCTCACGTTTGCCAGTCGGAAACTTCATGTGTCGGTCATCCAGTCCAGGTTTAAACGGCGACTTTGCAGGGATAGCCACTTTCATCGAGCCGAAAGCAGCTGCGAGATGGTCTACAGGTTTCATCACTGGAGACGGCGGGGGCATGAATACTTGAGGCTTCGTCTTAGGAGATAAGGCGTTCATCATTGGCGAGGGCGGAGACGCGATGGGAGGCTTCATAGGTGAACGAGGAATGTTGGTCCGAGACTTTGCTGGAGAGGGAGGGACTCGGACTTGTGAAGCACTGACCTGGGGCTTAGGAGGAGAAGTTGATGCATTAATCTGGGGCTTAGGCGGCGTAGAATGGAATGGCGACGGCGCTTCTCCACCAAATAGGCTACTAGCACTTGGTGGCTCGCTGGAAAATGATTCTTGGGCTTGAACAGGAGACGGCGGCGCCTGTGACCAATTTCCGTTGTTTGTGGGTGCAGGCGATGCAAATAAGCTGTCGGCAGTTTGATATCCACCGTTCGACGGACCAGGAGAGTCAAACGGACTGCTACTAGAATGGGTAGAGGAAGCAAATGGGTCCACTGGTGGGCTTACGTGAGGCTGTTGAGGTGGCTGTCGTTGTTGTTGTTGTTGCTGCTGCTGTTGAAAGCCATTGTCTTTGGGAGGTTGGACAGCAAACGGGTCGTGAGCTGCTCCATTACCATATACATTTCTGTTCTCCTGAGCAGCGAATGAGTCCTTCTCCGGAGCGTGGCCGAACGTGGCTCCTCCATTTTGGGTCGGCGCAAATGGGTCCTTTGGAGGTGTTGTAGCATTCCCCAACGTGGTTACATTCCCAGTAGTAGGGGTAAAGGGACTGGCTGTGTGGTTCGACTGACGTCTATACGGGTTGTCTCCAGACAACTTCCGGGCTGGTGGTGGGCCGCTAGCAAACAGGTCAGAGGCCGATACGGGCGCGTTCTGCCCGCTACCCTCTCTGCTGCTCGGTGGGCGGTGGCCCCAATGCTGCTGGCTGCTGTTGTCGGCGTTGAGGTCCACAGTCTCGTACATGGCTCCAGTCGACTGCGACGTGAGCGGGATCTCCTCAAATCCGCTGGGAGGCTGCGGTGGCTGGTAGTAGAACGGCCCACCAGGCGCCGCACGCTGATATGAGCCACGATTGCCGGCATGGTAAGAGCCCCCAGACGACTGGGGAGGTGCCGGGATCGGCGGACGCGCTGCCGGGGCGCCCTGGGACCCGCCCGAGTCGACGAAGTGCTGCAGCAGGCGGTTCATGTCAAGAAATTTCTATGGGCAGACGAAAATGGGTCTGCTTCAAAATGAATGAGCTCTGCCTATTTTTTTATTATACCCATTTTAAGAATGCAAAATGGGTACGCGGAGTAGAACTTGCCGGGACACGAGCTGCGCTTCGGCATTGCGGCAGTATCGCGAGACCCAGCGACGGGAGACGTGGATGAAGCTGTATGTCTGTTCTGTAAGCACTTTGGTCGCGAGCAACGCGCCGACAAGAAGCGCAAGAGCGCGAGTACCGTGAAGTACTTTCGAGACTCTTTTCGACCAGACCAGTACACACAGCACCACCAACTACAGCATCCGACACAATGGACCAAGTACAAAGCGTCTAATGCAAACCAGAAGCGCAACTTCTTCCCTTTGGCGAAAGCAGAAGAAAGTACTTTTGCTACAGCAAATAGTAGTGATACCACCGACTCAAAACTGATACCCAATGTGGGGGAACGAGGACGCTGCTTCGACGTCAAAGCGTCCATTGTGGAAGTTGTGGCAGTGTTAGCAGTGGGTTTGGGGCCTGTAGAGCCCACCGTGCAGACCAGAGATCGATTGGTGTACGAGTACATGACTCACCATAACCATGAAGAAGAGCAGCCTTCCAACTGTCCTCGATGGTCTCCGCCCCCAAATACCTTCGAGAGCTGCTACGTGGTGCAAAGAGAGCCACCAGTATATCGAGTTGTACTATATTCCAAACCCCAATTGGATTTTCTAATGGAGATGGCGGCGGAAGGCTTGTCGGGGGCCCAAATTTCGTCTTCGGTAAAGACTTTTCGACATCATGCACCAGTGTTGTTACGGGATTTAGTGGAGAATACCAAGAAAACAGAGCCGACGACGAAGAAAAGTGTAGCCAAGGCGGTGGAGAGAGAGGAAGAGAGGGTGAAGGAGATGTTTCGAGTGGATGAAAATGGGACTCCAGATTACGATGAAGCTCAAACGGCAGAGTTTGTCAGACTGGGCGTCGCTGCGAGTTTGAGTATTATTGCGAGACTGCTAGAGGAATCGTGGGTGTTCTCGTTAGAGCTGTACACTGCGGATCGGCATCAGATGTATTCGTACCTGGATATTCGCGTACGGTTCTACAATCGCATAGGAGGACTACGAAGTGCCCATTTGTTGGCGATCCCCAAGTATGTTGGGAAGTGTGACATTATGATGTTTCAGACTCTGGATCGCGTGCTAACTGCGTTGCTTCCCGACTGGAAAAAGAAGCTATTGGGTGTAATTACTACTGGAGAAATGCCCTTTCCCGCACGTTTGAGCGAAGCCATCAAGCATTTCCAGAACGCAGCGAAAGGGTCAGCTTTGTATCGGACGTCAAACTGTATTAACCAACTTCAGCGCGTCCTGCATTCCTTTTATGCTTCGATCGACAGTGGGAGTTTTCTTCGGACGTTGAAGAAACTGAGTGAATATGTTCGTAAGGAAGCCTTTGTGTTGTCAGAGATGAAGAGACTTCCAGGGTACTGGGCACAAATTGACTCGAAAGTCCACTCCACTTCCAGTGCCCCCGTTGCGCTTGGACAGGAGATCGATTTGCTCGTGGCTCACAGTGGATTCCTCCAAGAACACTTGAAAGAAGTCGCGCACTCTACAGAAACTGCATTGGTGATTCCTGTATCGTGGTGGGTGGAGCTTCAGGTCTTACAATGGATTACAGCTCGTGCCAATGCCGTGTTCGGGGTGTTGGAGAAACAACACGTGACCATATCCCAGCAAGCCACAGTCATGGCCAGCTTGGCAGAAGAATGTATCACCGGCTTCCACGCTCAGGTTCACGAGAGCAGGAACTCAGTGCCTCAAACAGATTTAAATGAGTACATTTCTTTGGATAAGCGAGTTTCTCTGTCCAAGACGAACTTGGTTGAGTTCGTTAAAAGCTCTAGTGAACGTGGTCGTGACCTGGTGAAGAATGGAGGCAGTGCAACAGTGAAAGCCGCTGCTGAACACCTCGCTACTGGTGCAGTGAATATGATCGCGTCGCTGGTCCAACTCAGCATCAGTCTACAGCAGCAATCCACTGCTTGTAGTGACAGCGGCACTTGTATCAGCCAAAGTACCGTCGTGACGGATGTATTACCACCAGTCATGCCACATGAGCTGGCACAACTTAACTCGGACGAGTTTGATGAGCTGCTTGAAGCGCATGACGCATCAACGCGGACTCTTTCGGATGATGATTTTACGGCTATCCGAGAAGAGCATGAGGTACTTCGTGACGCTTTTGCCAAGGACGAAACTCTACGACGTGCTCTCGAAATGTGCACGCAAGCAACTCCATTCCATGTGGCGTGGAGCGTCATGGATGCTCGCTTCGAGTCTCTCGAGGCCTTTGCCGGTGGGCTTGCGACTGTTTGTCCGTCAAATGTCGTCCCATTAAGCGACACGAGTGCTAGAGATCTGGTGCTGTGTTCGAAAGACATGGAGGAAGCAAGATTGCTACTCGCAGATTTTGAGCTGGAGAGCGCGCTGCATGCACAGCAGTTCCAGCCTCTTACGAAGCTCCAGGAAAAGCTGTACGACCGAGTAATTGCTGAGAGACGAACCCGTAAGCGGCACAAGCCAACGACAAACACAAGCTAATGTTATGGATACGGTAGATCAATAAAGAGACACTCGACTAGTCGCTTCCTTGATGCGTGTCAGTGGAACCTTTTGCGATCTTTGATGACGCCGCTTTGGGTCCAACACGACAAAGAAGTCTCATTTCTCGACAGCATATCCTCGACTATAAACGATGCAATTCTTCGCGACACCTAAGGACAGTCTAGTCGCGGCTGCATTGGAGGCATCCATGCGGTCGGTCAGACTGTGTAACGCTGGCGCTAACGCCTTCAGTCTAGACGAACACCAGGTATGTATTGCCGTCCTCATCGTCGAGTAAGTATGACAAACATCTTACCTTGGGCTCCTTTTCGGCAGCGTTGGTGTGCTGAGAGTGTGAAGGAGCGTGTAGTTCTGAAGGTGAGTGCACCCGAAGCTCGTGGCTCGTATCTGCAGAAACACACGACGTATCTTGTGACTCAAGAGTGTCACCACGAGGGCGTCCGTCGACGCTTTCGGGACTTTGAGTGGCTTCACGTGGTGTTACACGCTCGCTACATCGGCCTCTTAATACCGTCACTTCCGGAGAAGACGACAACGGCTGCAGTGCTCATGTCCAGCGCCTTTATGCAAAGTCGCATGCGTGGGTTGCAACGCTTTCTGAATGATATCATGAAGTCGCCGTATCTCCGCTCGGACGCAGCAGTTGCGAGTTTCTTGGGCGAACCAGGCGACGAAGCGACGTGGGAGATGATGAGGAAGAACACGGCAGTGATGGACAATGCTGGAGAAGGCCACATGCGCTGGCTGCAGCGTATTATGTGTGAGCATATCGCCAGCTCACCGGAACAGTAGGGATGGCTAGTATGTAGTATTTAAGTCACACACTCACAAGCTGTCTGTGTGCTTCGTTGCAGTGAGATTTCAGTGTTTAAGAGGCACGTTGAGCAGCGTGAGCGTCTACTGGGTGAGCTTGCTGCTTGTGCTAAGCGACTAGCGGACAGGAGCGCTGCTACGTGAGCACGTTACATGCAATCTTCGCGGGTTGGCAGCTGGCTGAGAGTGGCACGGGGTCGTCTGAGACGCACAACGACGCACCACTCGTAGCTCTGCTCACCAAGTCCAGTACGTGTTGGCACTTTGTAGTTGCGTCGTCGAGGGGGAGCTAACCTTATTCTTTGACTATGCTAGCGGGGGCAATCAGTGGATGGAGCCAAGTGGAGAGTTTTCAGCCAGCGATCTACGAGCTGTTGCTGCTGGAAAACATCACGTACATGCTCCGCCAAGCAACAGCGGTGAAGCAGATGACGATTGATCGAGAACGAGTAGTCGCGGGTGAGTCCTCGCCAGAACGGAATCCTTCTCCACCTCCTTCAGAGTCGTCATCATCATCTTCATCGACGTCGGGCTTCTCCGTAGCGTCTTTCACGTCCGCAGCTTCAAGATTTATGAGCGCAGTGGAGCCACCGTCTCTAAGTCTCGAAGAGCAGCAGCGTCGTGCACACCACATCAATGAACTCATTACGCGAGCGTTGATGGCCGAGGAGATGCAGCGCTTCCGGGCTGAGACGACGAAGGAACTCGCAAACATCATGGACCATTTCTCCTGTGCGGAGGCGCAATTATCGAAGCGATCAGGCTTCGTGTGGCGAGAATACCTCAAGACATCCCCAACTGATCCCCAAGCACTAGCTCAAAGCACAAAGGAGTTGCTGGACTCAGCTTCAACCACGTGTAGTCCGCCATCGCCTTCCGCCGCCGACGCGTTTTGACTTGGGGCCGTTCTTCTGTTGACCGCTGGGCTGTCGGCTGTGCGTTTGAGAAGAGAGGATAACTGAATTATGGCCAACTCGCGCTTATTACTTGATCCCATTTACCCGGCTGCTACAAAACTTTATGCTCTTTTGGCCTTATGGATCTCGGGCATCGTCGTAGATTTTGATGATGCTGGTAGGTTCGCATTTTATCTGCGTAATGGGGCACTCTCCGTGTTTCTCTAAGTGGTGGTAGATGCACATGTAGCAGAACACGTAGCCTGAAGGTATCGTAGCCGGGTTCACACGCTTCTTCTTGCATAGTGGACATAGTGCGGGGTCCATGGTGGCAAGTGTCAATGCTTGACCGGAGAAGTGCGGTGGGAGTGGAGGAGGTGGGATCGGCGCGTCAGTGCCTGTGAGTCGAAGCTTGGCCGCCTCGCCCTCTTCCGAGTACATCCACTCGACGAATTTGTACCCGGCAACACCCAGGAGTAGCAGCACGTACGAGTGATCCAGCGTCGCCCACGTCGCACGAAGAGCTAGTCGTCGGACTCTGTCGAACAGACCGGGACCAGCCACTTTCTCCAGCACCTTCTCGCGGTAGGCCGCTTCATTCTGTCGGAATACGGACTCGTCGTCGGGTGTGACTCTTACCAGACTTGTCTTCATGAAGCGCAAGAAGGGCGAGAAGTATGGCGTGTCTCCAAACAGATACAGCCAATGGTACAGGAAGAACGAGCCTTCATATGCAAAGTGCGCGAACGGGTACGTCGCCACAAATCCCTTCTTTAATACCCGCAAGCACTGGCAGCTGCGGAGACGCCGTAAAAAATCTCCCATTCGCTGCTCTCTTGCTGCCTCAGCCGACGTAGAACTTCTCGTCCGTGTAAGCTGTTCCGCTGTCTCTTTGTGATACGCATCAAGCTTCGTCTTCAAATACGGCACCACCACCTGCACGAGTAGTATATCACTATAAGCACGATATGACTACCTATCACACAATTATCGTCAGCAACGTACAGCGAAGAGCAATGCGAGTTTCCTGGCTCGGGGAGTCAGCGGCGCCGTCGTGATCTCTCCATTCCCATTAGCAACAAGTGTGACGCGCTTCATGCCGTAGAATTTCTCGGTAGCTAAACTGCCGTGTGTGGACAGGAAATAGTACTCAAGGCAGAGCCGCAGCAGTGCGTAACTCTCGTCAAGGCGGCGTACGGGTAAAGTCAGCGCCAGATTCGGATACGAATCGCACAATGTGTGCGCCAGATACTCGACCGCCGGCTTAAAACCAGCAGCCATACGCTCCTGCATCAGCAGTTCGAACAGCGAAGGAGCTGAGGCCGCCGCATCAGGCGCGCCGTCCTCCGGTGCGAAGCCCTGCGTCTGCTCCAAGAAGAGCATCACGGAGTTGAGTTACCGGTAACTTTGTTGACGCAGTCGAAATGTTACTTGATATTACTTGCATACTTTTTTAGTTTGGAACCTAACTTGAAGATGGGGTTCCACGCATCCAATCAAAATGATTGACGCTTTTCAGAATTTACTGTTTCAGCTCAGAGGCCTCTTCCAGTTTCGCAATGATGTTGCGCCGCGCCGCCCCCGCCTCCCGCCGGCTCTTTAGCACGAGCGTAGCCGACACCGACGTGGTGATCGCCAGCTACGCGCGTACGCCCATCGCCTGTTTTAATGGATCCTTTGCGCCGCTCCAGGCGCCGGAGTTAGGTGCCATCGCCAATGTTGAGGCTGTCAAGCGCGCAAACCTCGAGCCTGGGCAGATCCAGGAGGCGTTTCTGGGTAACGTGGTGAGCGCTGGCATCGGTCAGGCTCCGGCACGTCAGTCCGTGCTCAAGGCGGGCTTCCCCAACTTCATCCCGTGCACAACCGTCAATAAAGTATGCGCTTCGGGAATGAAGTCGATTGCAATTGGCGCGCAAAGTCTCATGAGCGGCAGCCAGCAGATCGTACTAGCCGGTGGCTTTGAGAGCATGACCAACGTTCCTCACTATCTGCCGAAAGCCCGCGCGGGCTACCGTCTGGGCAACGGCACGCTTGTGGACGGCGTGATCCACGACGGATTGTGGGACCCGTACAACAATCAGCACATGGGCATGTGCGGCGAGAAGTGCGCTGAGGACTTTGGTTTCTCACGCGATGACCAGGATGCTTTCGCCATTGAAAGCTACCGCCGTGCCGTGGACGCCAGTAACAGAGGATTCTTCAAGACGGAGATCACTCCTGTGACAGTCAAGGGGCGTGCCGGCAAATCCAAGGTCTTTGACACGGACGAGGAAATGTTCAACACTCAACCTGAGAAGATCCCAAGTCTACGTACGGCGTTCAAGAAAGACGGCACCATTACGGCAGCTAACGCGTCGACGTTGAACGATGGCGCTGCTGCTATGGTGCTTATGACTGGAGCCAAGGCCCGCGAGCTGGGTGTAACGCCTCTGGCACGCATCCGCGGCTTCGCTGACGCCGCGCAGGACCCCGTCGAGTTCACTATTGCTCCCTCTAAGGCCGTACCGCTGGCTCTGCACCACGCTGGACTCCAGATGAGCGACGTGGACTACCACGAGATCAACGAGGCCTTCTCGGTCGTGGCGTTGGCCAACATGCGTCTAATGAACATCCCACACGACCGCGTCAACGTCAACGGCGGCGCTGTCGCTATCGGCCACCCGATTGGCATGTCTGGCACGCGTATCGTCGGTACACTCATTAGCATCCTGAAGGAGAAGGACGCAACTATTGGCTGTGCGTCCATCTGCAACGGTGGCGGTGGTGCTGGAGCTATGGTCATCGAGCGCTTGAACTAGATCCGTACAAGCAGTGAGCAACTCAAACACAAAAATCAAATGTCTTGTTAACCCCCCCCCCCACTATACTACAGACGGACCCCATGTTGCATCGACTCCAAACTTATAAATGCCCTTATATCGTTGCCTTCACCGCAGTGTCGCGAAGATTTCCTGCAAATTCTTACGCAGCAGAAAGCGCTGATCTTCTGTCAGTTCATGCGCGTCACACATGGTCTCCACAAACGACTCGATCTGTGTCAAAGGCACCTCAAACTCCAGCATACTTAGTGTGAATGAGCCTAGCTGGCCGAAAACAATGTTGTGCACACGGCACACGGCTTCTTCGCGCGACGGCAGACCTATCATACATGAGCTCATACTCCGTTATGACTCATTCGACGGTACTTCACCACAGGCTTGACAGACTTACCATCATGCTTAGGAGCACCACATGGGAGTTCCTCCCATGGACAAGGCTGCGGTGTCCGCTGTAGCTCCTCGCCGATCGCCAACAAAAGAGCCTTTTCCCAGAACTATAAGCGGCAGACACAATAGTAAGCATAAGAAGTCCGACTTGAGCTCGCTGCTCACAAGTGTGATACTCACTGAAGGCGTCTTCCAAATGGGATGCTTCTTGACCTCCTCCTGCAAATATGTCCGTGTAGCACCACGCCCGATGCCTCCTCCATGAAGCAGAGGGTGGGTTTCATCAACATATTGCAGTAATTCCTCGCTTGTACGTTCAGTGTAGTCTCTGCAATCCGCACACAGCGAAGACCTCCGCCACGCTTCGCCGTGTCTTGTATGAGCACAGCCATTACCTGGCGGATCTTCGGCATCGAGCTTATCATCACTCGATTCCGACCGAGATTCTTGTTGGATTTTGGGATAATAAAACGTCTCTGCTAGTATCATTGCAGTTTTTGCCGCCTTGATGTCATCTTCACGGACGCATTCGTCGAGGAACGCGTTGAAGCAGGCCACAAGAGCCTTAAAGCTCGCTTGGTCTTTCACTTTCGTCTCCAGGCTGCGCTGTCGGTTTAAACATTTTACAAAAAGAGCTCGCCCCTCTGCTGTCTTGCATGTCTCGTGCACGAGGTCTTCAGTGGATATTTTCGTTTGGCTACTAGCAAGTTTTGCAGGTTCATCACCACTAGCACTAGCGTTAGAGGGAGACCGTGGAGTTGCTTCTCTCGTATCGCCAATCTCTTCGCTAAACGAAGCACCATGCACTTGATCCTCGGCAAAAAAACGGTGAAGTGCAGTACTCATCGGAGTCTGCGTAAGAGCCGTGTGCGGACTGTCGAGCGGCGCCACAGATGCCATCACAGCAGCGTTTATAGAAGGTCCTCGTCTCGATGAGGATGACGTTGTTGTCGATGCCAATGATGAAGTTGGCGACGCAACCGAGCCTTCCTCTATGCTGCTTCGACGCTCCAGAAGACTTAGCGACTGCCGTCTTGTAGCCGCATGATCTCCCTGTGTTTTATTCCACTGCCAATCCAGCAATGCCAACGCCTTTCCCTGGAAGTGCATGTTGTCTGGATCACGCTGGTTGTGTATGAGCAGTTGAATGTCCTCCGCTCTACTTAGACTCTGCACGTGGGTCTCAAGTGACGCCAACATTTGCTGCGAGACCTGCAGTCGCTCCTTCTCCACATGGAGAAAGCGATGCAAGCTCGCATTCAGCTGATCGAGTCTTTCCTCCTCTGCCTTCTGATACGCCACACTCACAGCCATAGTCATCTCATCTCTCGCAATAATTCGATTGTATAGCGTTGTCTTCGCTCGAGCACGGGCCATCATCGCTTGAGCCTGCTCCTCTTCACATTTAGCAACTCGAGCAGCCAGGCGCTGTAGTTCGAACTCCGGCACACCAATACCCTGCACAAAACACAGCAATAGCCTTCTTATCAGACCATAAATCTACCCGCCATGGACGCTGAAGCCGCTTACATGCAGTGCGAGTCTCTGTCTGGCCTTAGCTTCCCGTACTTCCAGTGTAGCTTTATGCAACTTGTTGACTGTCTCTATATGAGCAGCTGCAGCAACCTCGTATTCGTTATTGGCGTTCAGAATCTCGCCCTGCAGCGTCTGGATGTAGGTCTCCGACGCGTCTTTGAGCGATTCCAAAGGCTCCGCGACCTGTTCGTCCAGCACTTGAGCCATGAGCAGCTGCTTTCTGCAAGTGGCGTCCACGAACCCCTTTAGCTCCAGTAACGCCCGCCGGATTCCCGTTCCAGGCTCCTCCAACGCACCAATCTCATCTAGTAAAAGCTCGCGGAGTTGTTCACTTGCGCCGCGCTCTGCCTCCGCCTTACGCCGAAAGAATGCCACCAGACCTTGCAGACTGCGCTTTCCCTTGTCCGCATGCTCGTAGATGGCGCTGAATGGCACCTGGCAGAACGTGCGGCGCCAATGATTCTCCTCGTCCGAAGCTGCCCAGTGTCCCATTTTAGAATCGGTGCGAAGGAGAAGCGCTCCAATACTGTAATAGATTTGTCATTATTAAACACTTGTAGAGCATTGACTACCTTTTGCTTGCGAAAGGATAGACAAATGTAGATGCTCTTAAATACGGACAAAGTTGAAGCTAAAAAATCGATAAAAAGAGTGTTTGCGTCAGAATAACCTGCACAAAGTGGTGGCGCTCCTGTATTCGCGATGTGTTTCCTATTATCCGCGACCGTCTATGACGTCGCCACGTTCTGCTCTCTCTCCTCGCCTGCAAACTAACGTAACCTAGGTGCTATCTCCTACTCCACTATTTTCGCTATCGACTAATAATCCTTCTCCTTCCAATTCGCATACTCGAACACGCTTCTCCGATCCTCATTCTGCTTGTCGTCGTTGTCTTCGTATTGAGAAACGGTCGCTTCAACGCACGCGCCACGAAAAAAGACCGCTGTGAAACACCGTCGCATTTCTCCGTAGTAGCAAGAGCGCGCAAAATTTGCTCAAGCGTGAGCTACAAGATGGGGCTTCTTCGTCAGACACCACGCCTCCGTGATGTGTAAACTGCCCTGCTGGATTCGCGTCGTGTCGCTCTCTATCTGTACTGCCGATGGTACTCTGCTGCAGACGACGGCAAGTCGTACTCCAAAGACGTTGGCTTCTTACGTAAATCACCCGCGTCAGGCGGAACTTCACTGCTCATCATCCGTCCAAATGATGTCGAGTCCAGTGGATGTTCTGCGGCTCCAAGCGCGTGTTGCCGTTGCTCCTGGTCTGTTGGCAGATAGTCTTGCTGCAAAAACCCGCCCAGCGAGCTGTAAGGTGCGCTGTCATCGCCCTGGGAGTGCATTCCAAACCCACTTCTACCCACACCGTTACCACCAAAGCCCGATAGACCCATACCCATCATGCCGTTGCCAAAGCCGTCACTTCCAGAGTTGGCTGGAGTGTCGTTGCTACCGTATCCAGAGTCAGCATTCGAATGCCACGCACTTGATCCATGAAGTGGAGTGCCGCCACTGCGCTGGTTTGAGAAGATCGAGAACAACGGGGCAGGAGCGGGTGGTAGCGGAGGCTGTTGCTGCTGTTGACCCCGTGGCAAAGGCGGAGAGCCCCACGACTGCTGCTGCCAAGGAGTGGCTTGCCATGACAAGTTCGACGCTGGTCCGGCTCTATCGTCCACAAGGCCATGCGGGAGGAAGCTGGACTCGGAGGGCGATCCAAGCGGGGCACTCGGCGAGAGTTGTGGACCAGAGCTAGGAGAAAGCTTCCATTGCTCGATAACCGGGTCATTATCAAGAGGGTGAAGAGCGACGTCTAATGGCGACAGGTGGCCGTTTGTAGCTGACACACTTCCCGCGTCTACCAGGTGGTCCGACGATCCACGAGACGAAGAACTCGCCGATAGTGGCGGAGAGGCAGCACTGCTTCCGCCTAGTATACCACCTCCACGGGACGAACCTCCATCGCCGATCACGAGACTGGAGAGCGCATCTGCAACGCCACTGATCGTCGATGTATCCAGACTAATGCCATTTATGCTACTGACATCCCCATTGCTGGACAGCGGGCGGGGCGACGTCACTGAAGACGAAGGAAGCATGGCATTCGAGCTCGAGGTCTTTGGCAGCCCCCGACCACCAAAGCGAACGGCAGCAGCGTATCCTCCCAGCAAGCCATTGGGCATGAGATTGGCCGAAGCTGAAGTTGTGCGACACAACTTCTCCGATCCCATCGCAGCGGCGAGACCGCTGGTGGACGATACGCTGCCAGAGAGCGATACTGGGGGCGTTGTTATTGTGCTCACATCATCCAGGCTTCCCACGGAGCCAGGGCCAGAGGGGCCGCTGAAAGAGTTTCCACGAGACGAGACCGACCGTGGAGGAGGCACATCTGTGCGCGGAACGGCGCGCTTTACCTCGACGGACTTACCGTCAATGACGTGGTTCTTGTCCTGCAGCACCAGCTCAACGCTGGCCTCACTCTCGAATATGACAAAACCAAAGCCACGCGACTTGTTCGTCTCGCGATTGAACATCACTTCAGCCGACACGACCTTGCCATACTGCATAAAATACTTTTTAAAGTCCGCTGCAGCAAATGAATCACAACGACAAGGGGTCAACAATGCTTGCGGTCATCGTACAATTACGGCGGAGACGTACCATCTTTGGTTTCATAATGTAAGCCGCCCACGAAGATTTTTTTTGTGGCGCCGACTGCACTGTTAGCGCTGATACTGGATATTGAAGTGCTACCATTGACACGACTTGACGACGCGCTATTCCCGATGTCGCGCATGCTCTCTGCACGAGGAACGGCCCGCTTAGCTTCAACCTAAACAGCAAGTAACAAGAAGATCGAGTCAGCTCCCCAGTATGAGAGAGAATACACAAACCACCACGTACTCGACGGCTGTCTAGGATGTGGTTGGGCTGCGCCAGCGCTCTATCGACACACAAAGGGTCCGCATATGTAATAAAGCCGAAGCCTCGTGATCGTCTAGAGATCGGGTCCTTCATCACCACGGCGTCGGTCACTGTGCCATACGCGCCGAAGTACGACCGGAGTTTCTCTGGAACGCATCAGTCAATAGAACACACACACAGCATTAGACCTCGTCGCCCCCTTTCCTTTAGCCACTTAGCTTACCGTCCGTCGTCTCGTACGAGAGTCCCCCGATGAATATTTTTCTAAATAGAATGAGCATATACGAGCATCGAACACGTGGTCAGTCAATCGCCCCCTCCTTCTTCCAACGTGCCGCCCCATCAGCCCTTGTGAGATCAAAGTAGCATAGATCTTTATCGTAGCTGGCTGTAGCATGCTTTACTTACCCTAACTTGGTTGTGTCTGCCATCCTCGAGTCGCCTACTGCGCTAAGGGTAGCCAAGTTCACGTCGGAGAAGTCGGAGAAGACGTTCAGGAGCGAGCGCGCCTGGCTGTATCTGTCTGCGTGGATGTTAAGCGCCTTCGCTGTTTCACTGCACGGTCTGCTGCCGGAGCTGGAGCAGGTCAGAAGCGTAAGGAATCCTTTCGAATCTCCCTCTCAGACGTGCGCGGATTAACGCAAAGACGACGTTCCGAGGCGGAAATTAGCGCGAGTGTTGGTGCAAGTGTCTGCCTTCACGGTGTGGCCTGCTTCAAGTGCGTTCGACCGATTAGTGCCGAGAAGAAGACGCGCGCTGTGCTGCTGTCTTGCGCTGCAAAGCTTCTGTTGCTTTTGGATGTCGTTCGGTCGGCGTGTTGGTTTTGTTTCAGCCGGGTGGGCTAATGCCACTATTGTGTTTACGCATCGGAATGTTCAGATTTACACGGCATATGAGTGGTCAGATTTCGTGACATTGTGCTCGGATTGGACAGAGGCTCGTTTGACTTTTAAGTTGTAGATCTGAATTGTCGGTGCCTCACCACTGAGGACTAAATGGTCGGTGCAAGGAAATGTTGAGTGCTCGCAGCACCATGGTCACCATTTACAATCTTAGTAAATTAGGTATACTGGTAGCCTACCACTGGTAGGAATTGTCAGACTGGCAATGCCAGTGCCGCCGTCGATCGCTGCTGCTCCGCTGAGAAAGTTACTTGAAGTTACTATGGCCTCCGTCGTAAGTGGATACCCTATTCGCGCCACGTACGAACTTCACTCACTCGGCTCAGAGTGCGGCTGTCCGAGTCGGATGCAAGTGCTGAGTCAGAGAATCGGCTTGCTGTCGCTCCATGTCCGTGTACACTGTATGACGATAACTGCGCTTCATGAACAAGCACACACACTCGCTTAATTGTATAACTTACCAGGTAGTTTTTTTACTGAAGTAGAGGATAGCGACAAATGCGCTAGATTACGCAAAGGAACATTTTTTTATCTTCGTGATTCGCTGTCGACACTCGCCTTCGGATTTTGAAGTACTGTACATGCAGATACTTCAGTGCATTCGATCGGCCCTAAACTACTGCTAGCTTTATTGTACCACACAATACACACTGAAGCTGTGAGCCTCAGCATCACGGTCGAAAAATGATCCACTGTAATTTTTTCATGTTGGACGGTCCAACATTGCTGGCCGAAAGTATTGTAGTTGGACCCGTGTAACATTACAATCACACTTTTAAATTATTAACCCATGTAGACCGAGCTCTATTCTGTATTATACAGAACAATTGTTTGACTTGATTAACATATTGCTGTTAGCTCGGTAAAATTAATCCGTTGCAAATGAGCAGTGTCGTAGACGCTGTGAATTGGGACATAGGTGATGTTTTGGTTGCCATAAATGCAACAATGTACCCACCATCTGTACGATATCTCTGTTTTTATTGGCTTAGAAATGATGTGCAGCGAACGATGTCTGTCATAAAAACTTTGATTATCAGTATCCCCCGGAATCCGATAGCAAAACGGTTTTGGCGCCAGAATGACTGGTCGCGCTAAAGGTTTGTCGGCGTGTCGGCGCGTTCCCACACCAACTTTTCGGCCAGTTCTAGACTAGACGGAAGTGAAGAAGAACTAGGCTAGAACTTGGCCGAAATGTTGGTGTGGGAACGCATAGAACTGCTGACAGGGAGAAGGAGGAAATGCGGCATTAGAAACTAATACTTCGCTTACTAACCTCGGCATGCTCTCATGCATCTTCGCTGCGTTTACGCTTACGGAATCGAATATTCTTCCTCAGGTGAGCAGGTATGGCAGTGCCGTTTGCCCAAGAGTCATGCCAAATTTGATCGCATGTGAGTCGGTTTCCTGCTTCTTTTCGGCGCACGCAGTTGCAGAGGGGGACATATCCATCGTGCAGCTCCTCACAGGCCTCGCAGAAAAAACAGCTCTCAAACCCTTTGGTTTTTGGTGGAGCCATAGCAGAACAAACCTTGCATAGGTGCTGACGTCGCTTGTCCTTGTATTTTCTCTCTTGCTCCTGTAGTTGGTGCTCAAGTCGAGGCAGTGGGATCGAGGCCAAGTCTTCTGCTTGCTTATTACTAGCCAAACTTGTCGCGGTGAGTGCTAATAACTCGACATGTAAGAGACGCATGTACTCTGCATGACTTGGTACTGGTTTGCCATCTTTTCGCATTTTTATCTTATGCACGATGAAGCCGTTCACGATGGCCATGTCGACGAACCCGAGAAAGGGCTGCCGGTAATACTTCTTGAAGGCAACGCATCGCTGGATTGAATACCTCTGGAGACGTAACTGGTCGTGCCGGTCAACGCCCCCCATTCCACTATGATAATCGGCAAGTAGCTTAGGACATGGCACCACTTGAGATATCGCGGATCCCTTCTCCTTTCTGGTGACGGTGGTAGCCGTGGTTGCACAACCGGTAGCAATTAGATTCACAGGTTTTGAGTCCATCCAGGACACAGCAACCAGGTCAGGGTGATCCTTCGACTGGGCAATACGATAAGTTCCTCGGGGCATCGACACGGGCCGCTTTTTCTGTGTGAACGCGAATCCAGCTGGCCACCCGAGACGGTCGCTTCGGTGTGTCCCGACGTAGTAATACCCTTTCTCCATCAGCGCGATCGCGAGTGCGCACGATGAGTAGAAGTTATCCGCAATTATAAGACGTTTTCCCTGCTGCCCATCCAGAGCTTTGGAGACGTTGCGAATGACAGCTTTCTGCGCGACTCCCTTCGCTTTATACTTGGCTACTTTTCGCTCTGCAGGAGTCTGCGCGTTCTTCGACTCGTCCGAGGCACCCATGTACATTTCAATGCTGAGCCATACAGAACACCAAGCACAATAGTCAGCTAACTCCGTATCCGACAGAACATGCCATTCTGTACCATCCGGAACAAGCTAATCAGCGTAGCTTATGCTGTATCGTACAGAGTAAAAAGAGAATACGAACCGAGAACAATACCCGGATTCCGCACAGCAGGTCATGTACACCTTCGTCCCGTACTTATGCGGTTTGTCCTTGTTGTAGACGCGCACCGGATTGAACTTACTTCGGTTAGGAATGGTCCCCTCGTCGAAGCTAATGCGCGCTCCAAGTCGATACCCTCGGCGAAACGTCTTCTCCAGTGTCTGCAATACAGGTCGCACCTTCCAAGCCTTGTCAATCGTAGCAGCACCCGCGGCTGAGCTCTGAAAGTGAAGGTATCTCATGATGGTACTAAAACGATCCCGAGACATGTATCTGTTGAACGTTCCTCGGAGTATCGCTCCATCCTCCTGTGTCCGCCAGTGCTTGTCGAGGCCATCCGTGTGACTGCACAACGACCGCGCTATCAGCAGACCCACCACATGCAAAATTTCGTGAGCCTTTATCGATCTTGTCTTCGTCAGCTTCTCCACCAATGCTTCTACTGGTTGTACTGTCTTCGTGGGGTCCTTTGCACTAGCCTCGAGCTGCTTAGCACGCTGGGCGGCAGCGACACTTGGTATACACTCGATACGATACGCCTCGGACTCCTTCGCAATGTGAAACCACAACTTCTTAGGGAGAAAGTAGAAAAACATACCCAACGGCGAGCTGGCGAAGGCTGCGGCAGACCTGGTGGGCCCCCATGTTCCGTTGTATAAGTCGGTTGCTTCATCAAGCTGTAGGTCGCCTGTACTCCGGATTATACAGAATTACAAACATGTTAGAAAAACTACCGGGCACAGCATATAAAGAGGCAGCTGAAAGTACTCTGTATGATACTATCTTACCACAATGGTTTTGATCATAGATCTCCCAACCAGAAGCAGCCATCGTGCGCATAGCAATATCATCTTGTGCAAATTCGCTGCTGTCGTCTTCAAACTCGTCATCTGATTCCACCTCGCTTTCGTATAATTCGGATAGGTCCCCAGGAGCATCGACAGGATCTCTAACAGACTCAACGTCTTCTTGAGGCGCCAGGCTATGTTCAGCTATGTTCACATCGTCCGCATCAACAGGCCCAAACAATCTTTCAGATCTCATCGCGTCGATAAAGTGTGGGGAATCGAACACATCCAGACCGGTCCAACTGGTCGCAACCTCGCCACATCCTTGTTCTGTAGGAGCCGTCACACTACCTTCGACGTCATCACCGTGCTCTGTATCTGCCGCCGCAGTCAGTTCCGTATCTGCCGGCGCAGTTAGCTGCATGGCATCAACTGGTTCGGTATCCGCCGCCACAGTCTTCTCCTCGGCGCCCCCTTGTTCTGTATCCGCCGGCACAGTCTCCTCCTCGGCGTCCCCTTGTTCTGTATCCGCCGTAACAGGTTTCTCCACGTCGCCCCCTTGATCTGTACCCACCGCCACCGTGTCATCTTCCACTGCACCAGACAAGAGGGTTCGCGAGGGCATTCGTTTCCTTGCAGCTGCATACGCGGCCTGCTTTCCCATTGGAGGCCGTCCGACAGTTATTAGGCCCCGAAAAGAGGGGGTAAGAGGAGGTATCAACCCTTCTCGCATAGCAAAATCCCACAACGCTTTTGTGCCTAGTACATTCAGCGTTAGAAAAAAGCAAGTCACGTTTATGGCGGGCAACACGCACCAACAAAGTACTCCACTCCTGCTTTGTCCTTACGAAGCCGACCTTTCACGCCTGGTTTTACATAGGTGTGCTCCGAGTCCAGGCCTGTCGGCGGTCGTGCCCTCCATCCAGCCTTGATCAGAGAGGCCCATAAACGCTTGAACTCCTTTGGGTCAATCCACTCCGTCATTTCTGGACGATTTCACGAAATGGTAAGCGAGAAGATGGGATGAAGTTAGAATTTTGAAACCTATGGACGGAATGCGTGGGCGAGAAGATGACGGGACGAAGTTAGAATTTTGAAACCTCTGGGCATTTTATATTGCCTTTTCTATTGCAGAGGAATATACCCGTCTATCTCCCGATCTCTGATCCAAAATGATAAGATGCCCCATTCCCACAAATACAAACTC